ATGATTTAGATAAGGATTACGAGAGTTTGATTGACGTCGTCTCTGACTAAAACACTTTTGTGTCACACTGTGAAACATTTTTATGGAACTTATTTGTCAAGATAGATATTTATGTCAAAGTTTTGTCTATTATGTTCCAAAGAGAGTGAAAGAAACAGCTAAAAGTGGCAAAAAGAGCATCTATAATATTATACAAAACACACCATGAGTTTGTTATTATCATTGTTCGTTAAAAACAAGCTTCCTTGTACTTGGCTCGGCATGTTTATTACATTACATGTATCGTCTGGATCAACAATATGACGTACATTTGCGCGACGCATATGGGCAATACACATCAATCGCACTAACATGGGCATGCTTTTCACACCCTAATCCCTCAGGGCAGGACCCTAAGATCTGTGTCACCCTGATAGTCTTCCTCTATCAGCCAAGGTTGACGCTTGCACGTAACAAGATAGTTACTGCAATGTACTCTTTTGTCTACTGGAAGAACTACTCCAATGGTAAGCACATAAACTCCATCATATGTCATTAAACACTAACACGTGCACAACAGAGAGCATTGTCTGGCGCTGCTACAATGACATGCTGTAATATCAGTGGTCATTTTGCTCTAGGATAGTGTTTCTAAAGTCAACTGATCGATGAGCAAATTGACATCGACAAATGATTTCATCAACAAGTAACGTCAACAAATAACGTCAAATTGTGACACTCCCCACAATTTCAGTCTCTCAGCAGTACATATTGTCTTATTTCTGCAGTCCTGCATGGAAGCAGACTGATTATCTTTGTGTTGATCTAAAACAGCATTTTGGGGAATTTCTTCCCACCCCAAAAAATGGAATGAACACTTCAAATGCCTCTAAAATCCCCCATAACAAATCAAGTCACAAAATAACAATTCAGAACATTTCCAAACTTTACGGAACAGATGCCCGAAAAAAGATACGGTCTAAACAGAACACTGTCTGGTAGTTATTTATTTTATACATTTACGGCTGTTAAAAAAAAAAAAAGAAGAAACATTGCGTGTGCCTATCCGATTTTATGACGGTGGCAATTGAGCCTCCACGTGAAAAAATGTTTGTCCCGTATGGTCGATCGAAGAGGTTCCACTGTAATTCATATAAGTTATGACAGTCGCCGCTAGCCTACATTCCTCCCACATACTTCTGCAGCTCAAAAATACATCCATATTTTGTGTTCTGAATCAGACCACTGAGCAAAGTGCTCGAGGGACAACGGCGTCACAACCTCGCAGACCACCTCAGAAGGCTCCTGTCAAAGCAGCTATTATTTGCTGCTTCGCTCTAGGGCTCCTCAGCTTTGGCAGGTAATGGTTCGGTCACTGTGGAGAACTGACCCCAAAACCTTTCAGCTCCTGGTCAAACCACCACCTCAAAGAATTCTGGTAGTCGGCTTGAATGTTGACAGGTCAATCAGTCACTACGAGTGCAATTTCTATTTCGTCATTGAACGACTCTGATGGTTTATGTCAACCCCCCCCCCCCCCAAAAAAAACGTATAGCGTATTCTATAAGATATGTATAGCATACATACCATACCTGTATAAGACGTAGTAAATGAATGAAACCGTTTGGGCACCAGAAAGTGGTTGGTTCAAGTCCTGATTGTGATCACACCAATGAATTACACTTTAAACCAATCCACTTGCAACGTGGCCAAGTGGGACAGTGACCCACTGGATTGAACAGCGAGAGCCACGCCTACCTTGGGGGAGGCCTGTTGTCATCATCCACATGCTGTACACACACACTTTGTCTCTGATATGTGCATTTCAGACGTTTCAATAACAGAGTGTGAGTTTAATATCCTCTCTCCGGAACTATAAAAAGGTTGCTCTTCTGTTGAATCACAAAAACTGAGTTTCGTACTGTTCAAAGATTCTCCAAAACAAATGTAACGGCCTGCTTACTAAAACCATTCTGCAATATTTTGTAATGACTCAAAAGGGAATTTTTAGGGGTCATATTTCCAGCCAAGCAGTCTAAGGTGGCACGACAGGTTGTCTGCGACGCAAAACAGGGGGAGAAGAAATAACAATGTGTGCCCATTGTACACATTTGCCTGAACGACAGACGGAGAGATGGCGTTTCTCACAAAGGGCATCTCGCCGCGTACACGGTGCAGTGGCCTAGTTTGCGACAGGATCAGGGCATTACTCTTAATCCACCAGATAGATGACATTTGCATACACATGACGGCAACCACATGGAGAAATCCAAAATGGTGGCAAGTGAAAGGCAGAAAGTAAAATCAGGAAATGGGAAGGGAGGATAAATAATATATCCATGCATTACAACGTGCAATCTCCCATATATTGGTACAATGGGCACACATACGGTGTAGCGTCATGCAACATTTCCACGGGATGCACTTCCATCTGATTGCATCTTAACACCCTTAGTCCATGAGCGTGTATGAAAGCAGCTTGCGTACCGAGCATGAGACGGAGCTTGCAAAAAGTGAGACAAATATTCAGATCCTGAACAGATATATTGTCTATTGTCTTCCCTTCATGTCACATTACATCGGAGACTCTGTCAGGGAGCGTTTAACATTTCAAAAATATGTTGACACTAGCATTCCAGCAGTGACAGTCTATGCCTCAACTCTCAACACAGCCTCAGAGGCCCCGCTGTTGATATTAAAGGAGGCATGGCACGTCACACACAGTGAGATTAAAGCGATGGGAGAAACCCCAAACCCTCCGTCCTTCCTATCTCACCACATTATGAGGATGTGACAGGAAGCCGAATGAGAGGAGAGTGAGAGGAAAAAGAAACAAAGAGACTGGGTACAAGCGCTTCCCGCCTTGTTGGAATCTCCTCTCGCCCTCGCAAAAGAAGTCTGCGACCATCATCGTTTTGATGGATTACTGGACCGTTGCAGGCCGACCGGGCAAAAAGGCAGAAGACTGATAGGAAAACAAGCGTGTTTGTTGATGGAGAAGATTTTACTGTGCTCGAGGTGACCATCCAACCCTAACACTGTCTCCAGACCATTTTTTTTTTGGGCAGTAGGCGGGGGACACCCTGAACCTGTTGACAGCCAATCGCAGGGCACACATAGACAGACAACCATCCACGTTCACACTCACAACTAGGGACAATTTAGAGTGTATATATCGTCTACATCATCCCCAACCTCCACATCTCCTCTTATTCGTATGAAATTTTTTAAGCATCCCTCACTACATCCTGACATTTTTTTTTTTTTTCATCCGCGGTCTCAACCCAAATCAGTCAATCCATTTCATCGCTAACGTTACGAGAGAGGAATCCTCAAAGCTAATCTTCAACCTGACAGGCCGACATCCTGTCTATCAAAGCGTCGCCTGTAGGCGATGCAATTTTCAAGCGGCGCACCTCGATTTGCAATCACTTTCGTTTTGTAACACTTGTAATTTCCAGATTCCCGGTGTGTTCATTTCAGGTACCCTTAAATGATTGTCAATCATTGTGAAACAAATACGAAGAGAATGGGAAGCAGAGAAATGGACTAGAAAATCGAGCAGCAGTTTTATGGGAATTTAAAACAAAAAACATTTATCCTTTCCCGTGTTTCCAATGTATCAATCACATTTTCTGAACACTTTTATCAGCTCTTCCTTGAAAGGATTTGAGAAACAATCTTAACTCGTATATAAGATAATCCATCTTTTGTAGCAGGTATTTTTTTTTTTTTGGGTAAAGTGATGTTTGTGTGCAGGTGTCATGGTGTCGGCCGCATGACTTTTGCATTTTTCAAAGTTCACTGTTGAAATAATATTATGTCACATAGTTGTGTTGAACGTCTTTGTGCATTTATATGACAATTTGGGATGATACAGCAAAAGCATTTCAATGATTGTTGATAGTAAAAGTGCAACTGAAACAAAATAAATCTTTCAAATGCAGACAATTCATTTGAACATTTTGGTGTCATTGAGTTGTTCCTTGCCCTGACCTGATTTGGGACAAAGCGCTTATGAGGTTCTCATGATTTTTGATGAGCAACAAAAATTTGTCTTGCCGTAAAATGGGAGTCGTAAGAGATGGATCTCAAGACACTTCACCAAACATACTTCTTGAAGCTACACGAGGGTCTCAGAGGATAAATAAGGAAGTCAAAAACACACATGTGGACAATAATAATTGGTTCTTTGTTCTATGGGGGAATTATGTCAAAATAACCACATTATTATTGATAAATTTGTTTGATGTGATGCCATATATCATATTGGAATGAAAGTACACCCGAGTTTTTTTACAAGGTACCGGTAAATATAAATCTATACAACTTGACAAATTGTTTTTCCCACAAATCCATGTATAAAAGTGTTATTCTTGAGAATTTCTGAATAATTTTCAATGAGCCATTTCTCTGCAAAACTTAGCGACAATTCATATTTTCAGCACACACACAGTAATTTTAAAGTCAAATGTATGTAAAACTAGAGTCGAGCAAGATAAAATATAAGAAAAAAAAATACTGCGGTTTTTTGCAGATTATAAAACTTGAGGATAATCTTCGTACTGGGAGATGAATAACTTGGTTACTTGAGGTTGCGTGTCGACATCACATCCTAATACTTGAACTAGGAAACATGCATGAAACTAATGACTAGGTTGCCTGAGCAAAAACAAAAAAACAAAAAAAAAAACCCCAAACATGTTGGTTGGACATGAGCAGGCGAATCTCCCACAAACACACACGCGCATCAACGCAATCGCACAAGCTGCGGCGAAATTATCTGATATGCCATATGTGGTCCAACTGTCCATGCCAAGTAATACTGGGATGGACAAAAACAGCTGGCCTTGCGTCAAGCCCGCTTGCCAAACTATACAGATAAACACACACTTGAATAGCGCAGATGCAATATCAGAAGATAATGCCTTCGTTCTGGCCAGATTCATACATATGAATTTTGGACAGGCTGTACCCTTGAGCCAACACGGGCGATGTGTTGTGAATGTGAGAGCACTCACAGTCAGCGTCGGCGAGGAAGAGGAAACTGAGGAGGAGCAGACCCGGGCTGGCAGAGTGCATTGTGGGGTACGTCGACACATGCATGCTGGATCCTCCGTCAGCTCACTGCCTCACTGTACAATGGGATGATGGAGACAAGTCCTCACAACCTGCGTGGGAAAGACACAAAGGAGAGAATGCACTCATTAGGATTGTTTTCAGAAGCCCAAATTTTGACAGGGAATGTACTATATAAAGGGAGCATGCGTGCACGCACGCACGCACACACACACACACACACACACACACACACACACACACACACACACACACACACACACACACACACACACACACACACACACTTTTGAATGTGTGCGATTTCCCTCGGGGCCTCACACTCCAGTTATGCAGCTGCCTTCTTCTTCGCATTTTATCAAGACCTTACATTGCCCAAGGTGTGCGCATGCCCGTGTGTGTGCGTGTGTGCATGCATGTGTGTGTGTGTGTGTGTGTGTGTGTGTGTGTGTGTGTGTGTGTGTGTGTGTGTGTGTGTGTGTGTGTGTGTTTGCAAAATAGCCGCCAAACTTCAACAAACAGCTAACATCCTGCTTCAAAACATCACTCATCCTTTCTGTTTGCTCGCAATTTGTCTGTGGCAGGTTTACCTGCTTCACAAGCGGCACAACAGACCCCGTTTGGGTCAAAAACACGGTGATTGATGAAAAGGAACAGAGGATGCGGACTGGGAGGGATGCATGCCGGCAAGGAGACAGATTATGTTGCACACATTGTTCCTCGTACTCTAAGCGGGCGCCTGCTTTTTTTTAATCATCCTTTTCATCACACAAGTCCTTATTCCATGTCGCTGCGATTCTGTCTTTTTCCGCATCACATATTTTAAGCGTATTCATGCCATGCTCTCGATCGCATCAGTCCTCAGTCAGTCAGTCTGTGGGTCTGTCTGTCCGCTATCAAGCAAGTCGTCTGCGACCGTCTGGCATCAGTCGAGACGGGGCGACGTCTTTGAGTGTCAGAAAACTCACAGCTCAAATCGCATGACGCGATTCGACATGACGGATGAGTGTTCGTCTCCCAAAGATGACAGACTTGAAGTGAGAGTCGGACAGAGTGAGCAAAAGAGAGAGAGAGAGAGAGAGAAAAAAATCTTGATTCATGCATATTTATGCATTTCCTTCCTCTGTAATGTATAAGTTAGTACATCTGTATGCATGAGCCAGTTGTTGTTCTCACTGAACTGTAGCACAACAGTGTAAATATATGTATGCGGGTAGCTCAGTGTCATGACTGTTGTCTCTCACGGCACAGACGCATGCAACAAAATCTTAAGGGAATGCGTCTCCAAAAGGGCGCCATCATTTTTACATGCAGAAACAGCAACAGCGGTCCGAAGTCTATCGACTCCTCTACCAGCTTTCTGATTAAAAAAAAAAAATAAAAATTAAAAAGAGAAAGAACGGGGCAGGGAAGAGATGAGAGCAGCAGCCTAAATCTCTCAACCTTCCTGCGAGCCAAAGCAACAAACTACCATAAACCCACACTGGATTTTCCATTAGTTTTGCTTTGAAACAATTGCTTTGGTATAACCTACACCCCCACCTACGCTCATTGAGTCATGCCAGATTGTAGTCTGACTACAATACTACCAGCAGAACTACGGTCACAGACATGCATTTGTGTTTTACTATGTATCGTAAAAGCATGTCATTGGTTTGTCCGCCTACGGATTGAGATCTTCACTCTACCAGCACGAATCAAAGAACGTATCGGGACGTTTTGAATATACACTCTAGGTATTGTCTGAGAAAGACAGCCTGGATTTACAAAGTAAATTATTGCAAAAAATCCAGCTCTGGCCTTCCTGTGTGGAGTTTGCATGTTCTCCCCGTGCCTGCGTGGGTTTTCTCCGGGTACTCCGGTTTCCTCCCACATTTAAAAAAAATATGCATGACAGGCTGATTGAACACTCAAAATTGGCCCTAGGTGTGGTTGTTCATCTCTATGTGCCCTGCGATTGGCTGGCAACCAGTTCAAGGTGTCCCCCGCCTACTGCCCAAAGACAGCTGGGATAGGCTCCAGCACACCCTGAGGATAAAGCGGATCAGAAAATGGATGGATGGATGGATGGATGGATGGATGGATTGCCACTAAAAAGGGAGTTGAAACTTGTGCTGCTCACCAGTTCCCCAAACTATTTTTCAGAAGTCAACTTTACAAAAGCAATCCCATGAAACAAATGCCAGGGCTGATCGAAATAGGATTATTGGATGGATTATTCATTGTCATTTGTATGTATATTTTCGCTAATTACAGTTCCCATTATCTTCTGCAAAATGAAACAGACATTACAAAAAAATAAAGCAACATCTTTGTGTTCGTGTGTGTGTGTGGCCACTAATCACGCCAGCTGATTTAACGGCACTGGAAAAGTCTGCATTATTTAGTATCTCACTTCACAGCGTGTCACGTTAATTAAAGAGCTTGAGATAGCGGAGAGTGAGAGATAAATGGAAAGAGAGGGAGAGAAACAGAGAGAGAAAGAAACAGAGAGAGGGCAGAGTCGACCTGAAATGGCAAACAAGCGCACACAAAGAGGCAACGTGGGCTTGAAAGAAGACGGAAAAAGAAGAAAAGAGACAATCAGCAAGGTAGCGGCCAGATGGTAGTCTGCGTGGTTGTTGTTGTTGCTCATTACTGAGTGGGGGGGCTACCAGGAAGCCTCCCGCTGCATCCGAGCTTGCGGAACGCCGTGGTGCTCGGCCATTCACTTACATTAGTCCCTATCGCTCGATTACATCAACTGTCTGTCTGGCTGAGCCTGCAGCCATCAGTCACACTTATCTATGCGATGCCTTGTGACAGAACAAAAACTGACTTAGTGACAGTTTAACACATGGCGAGAGGAGAAATGGGAGGAGGAGCGCCAAATGACATGATATAGAGGTAAAAGTAGAAGATGAGCAACATTACAGCGAATGGAAAATGTTTTTGAAACCGTCAAATGCCTAATGACCGCAGCCGTCCCAGGATAGCCTCGTCAGTCTCGTCTGTGTTTATGACGGCTGTTGAATGTGCAGCTAAGCAACGAATGAAAACGCGATTTGCAACACCATGTTCGTTTTTGTTTCACATCTCGCCAGTTGACATACAAACTTGCACGCATTCCCCGTTAACTAGTATGAGAGAATAGAGAGACTTTCAAAAAAACTTCTTTCCTTGGAATTAACAGAGTGCCGACCACAGCATTTTGAGAAGGTGATTGACAAAAGAAGTATTGTTTTAGTGGATCCAAATCAGGCTTATGTACATAGTTAAAAAAAAAGAAACAATTTGTGATGCAGAAGATGACTGATAACAGTAGTTTGTGGGCTGATCGCCGCTGATTTTCAGCAAGAGACGGGTGAAAGGCTAAAATGGTTGCCAACCAATTGCAGGGTACAAATAAACAAGCATCAAGGCTAACCACTCCGCGACCAAAATGTGGTATACGCGGTTGTGATTGGACAACAACTTTTTCACCTGTGTGGTTTGTTTATTTGTTTGCAGCTGATTGTCTCCAGTTTTTGGTATATTCACCTTGGTTTTGTTCTATGCTGGCTGGGTTTTCTGCCAAGGACGTTCCCATCGTAAATAAGAGTTAACCTCTGCCGGCATCCTGTGTGTGGTGATAATGTTCACCTTCTGACAGTTTTCTCAATGATCAATAAAAAAAAAAAAAAAACATTCTGAATCCCCATCCAGATGTAATTGTGGTTAAGATAAGATAAGAAAACCTTGATTCGTCTCACAATGGAGAAATTCCCAATTCACGGCAGTAAAGTTATGAAAGGAAGAAATTGAAGCTGCTGTAAAGGCAGCCACTCTCGCGGCGCCAGCTTGAAGTCAAAATAACAAAATAATACAACGCAACACATAAGACACAGACAGTCGTGCCATCTTAACCACTTTTCTGCATCCTCTTTGTTGTATGAAGCAGTTATAGATGAAAGAGTTTTCGTGGAAAGTGCTAAAGTGGGTTTGGAATCAAACCAAACCAATTTATATAGATCAGATTAAATTTGGCAGGGGGTTTCGATTCAACACTGAACATCTTACTTGACATACACCAAATTTTCTTCTCATGTGCTGTCAAGATCCAAGATGGAGGCCTTTCATCATTGATTTTGCTTGTAACCAATCACAAGTTGCTTATATATATATATATATATATATATATATATATACACGTAACTGAAGGGTACTCAGTTTTCCGTTTACCGGTGCAAGAGTACAATGGCATAAGTGCAATTAAGAATGACTTTAAAGAAGAAATTGAAAAGAGGAGGGTATAGAAAATGAATGCGTGGGTGGATGATTGCAAGCAGTGTGGGACTAGACTGAAAATGCGATGGAGTCGTGCAGCTGCATCGGAGGCTGACAAGATAGAGACGCAGACAAAAGGCCGATCCTGAAAAGCGTAGCTTAAGGCAAAGTGCGCGCCGCGGAAAAACAACACTCAGCTTTATTATTTGATTTGCAATAGCAAAGCTGAGACATCGAATGCAATCAGACACACTTATTAACTTACGCTATCCGCTACGTTGGCACAGCGGCTGACTGACAGAAATGTCAACGTGGTGGCAATTGGGATTTGTTGCATCACAACAGGAAACAGGAAGTCTTTGGGGCCGAACTTCCATTGAAAAGGAAGGTGACGAGTGGAATATTTACCCTATTTGTTCACCGTGATGTTGGAGAGTGGGAAGTATCTTTGTCAACTTGCCAAATTATCCGTCAACATTGATGTCGTTTGTACAGATGTCTGAAGCTTAATTTGATCCTTTAATTTTAAAGTTCCTGCCTACTGCTGTCAGGCTATTGAATAGACAGACCTGAAAACCCGGACTCACCCCAACTCACCCATTTTTAAGATGCTCATCTCTATATTTTATCATTTATATTTATTTGTATACTTTTTGTTCTTCTACTTCTCCCTTTCATAATTTTGCTGCTGTAGTGCAAATTGGACATGAGGTACATGAGGAGCAGTGTAAAGGTTCAAGCACTTTAGTCAGCAATCGTTTTCTCATGGATTTATCTGTTATGGAGGAATTTAGAGGCGTTTGAATTGCAAATTTCACATACATGTCACATTGATCTTTGCATGTTT